CCTAACTTTTTATTGAGGTATAGTTGATTTACAATATTATATCATTTTAGGTGTATGTCCGTGATTCAAATGTTCACAGACTATATTGTTTAAATTATTATAAAATATTGGCTACTTCCCTGTGCTGTACAATGTATCTTTATAGCTTATTTTATGTGTAACAGTTTGTACCTCTTAATCCTCTACGCTTATCTTGCCCTTCCCTGTTTCCTCTCCACACTGGTAACCACTAGTTTGTTCTCAATATCTGTGAGTCTGTTTCTGCTTTGTCATATTCATTTGTTTTATTTTTAGACTCCACATATAACTGATAACATACAGTATTTATCATTCTCTGACTTATTTCACTAAGCACAAGACCCTGCAGGTCTATCCATGTTGCTGCAAAAGGCAAAATTTCATTCATTTTTTATGGCTGAATGGTACTGCATTGTGTGTGTGTGTGTGTGTGTGTGTGTACCACCTCTTTATCTATTCATCTGTTGATGGATGCTTAGGTTGCCTTGTACTTGGCTACTGTAAATAGCATTGATATGAACACTGGGGTGCATGCATCTTTTTGAATTAGTGTTTTAACTTTATTTAGCCAGGAGTGGAGTTGCTAATCACATGATAGTTCAATTTTTAGTTTTATGAGGAACCTCCACACTGTGTTCCAGAAGCTGCACCAATTTACATTGGTGTAAATCCAAATCCCCAGCATTGTAATGAGAATGCCTTTTCATCATATTTCTGACATTTGTTTTTTGGGTGTATTTTTTTTTTTAAATAATAGTCATATTGACAAGTGTGAGGTGATATTTCATTGTGGCTTTGATTTGTAGTTCTCTGATGATTAGCAATGCTAAGCATCTTTCCACGTGCCTCTTGGCCACCTATATGTCTCCCTTGGAAAAATGTCTATTCAGGTCTTCTGCCCATTTTAATTGGATTGTTTAGCTTTTTTGATAGAGTTGTATGAGCTGTCCATATATTTTGAATATTAACCACCTATCAGTCATACCGTTTGCAAATATTTCTCCCTTTCGGTAGGTTGTCTTTTCATTTTATCAGTGGTTCCCTCCCCTATGCAAAAGCTTTTACGTTTAGTAAGGTCCATTTGTTTATTTTTGCTTTTGCTTCCTTTGTTTTAGGAGGGATAGCCAAAAAAAGTACTGCTACAGGATTTATATCAAAAAATGTTCTGCCTATGTTGTCTTCTAGGATCTTATGGTTTCCAGTCTTACATTTAGATTTTTAATCCATTTTGAGTTTAATTTTGTATATGGTATGAGAAAATGTCCTAATTTCAATTCTTTTACAAAAGCTGTCCAGTTTTCTGAGCATCATTTCTTGAAGAGACTGTATCAAATTCATTGATGAGTTTCTGGTGGCATCTTTAGAAATCTCTATATATAACATGTGTCATCTGTTTTATTTCTCTCTTTCTAATTTGGGTTTTTCTTCTTTTTATTGTCTGACTGCTGTGGCTAGGACTTCCAATACCGTGTTGGATAAAAGTGGCAATAGTGGGCATCCTTGTCTTGGTCTTGATCTTAGAGGAAATGCTTTCAGCTTTTCACCACTAAATACGATGTTAGCTATGGCTTATCAGATGGCCTTTACAGCCACTCTGCTGAGAGTTTTAACCATAAATGGATGTTGAATTTTTTCAAAAGCTTTTTCTGCATATTTAGATGGTCATGATTTTTATTCTTCAATTTGTTAATATGATTTATCATATTGATCAATTTGCAGATTTTGAACTATGCTTGCATCCCCAAAATAAGCCCTGCTTGCTCATAGCATATGATCTTTTCAATGTAATGCTGATTTAAGTTTGCTGATATTTTGTTGAGGATTTTTACATCCACATTCATCAGTCATACTGTCTTGTACTTTTCAATTTTTGTGGTATCTTTGGTTTTGTTATCAGGGTGATGCTGGCCTTGTAGAATGAGTTCAGAAGTATCCATTCCTTTGTAATCCTTTTGAGTAGTTTGAGATGGATACATGTTAACTCTTCTCCAAACATTTAATAGAAAGTAACTGTGAACCCATCCAAACTGGTGCTTTGGATTCTACTCGTGTGTAAAACTTTCAAAGTGAAAGTGAAAGTTTCTCAGTCGTGTCCAACTCTCTGTGGCCCCATGGACTATACAGCACACTGCATAATCCATGGAATTCTCCAGGCCAGAATACTGGAGTGGATAGCCTTTCCCTTCTCCAGGGATTTTCCAAACCCAGGTCTCCTGCATTGTAGGCAGATTCTTTACTAGCGGAGCCACAAGGGAAGCCCGTAAAACTTTCAATCTCCCCATCAAATCTGAATGAAAGTCTTTCTTGGTATAGTATTCTTGGCTGTAGGTTCTACCCTCTCATTGCTTTAAACATATTGTGCCACTCCCTTCTTGCCTGCATAGTTTCTGCGGAAAAGTCAGCTTATTGCCTGACAGGTGTTTCCTTGTATATAACTTACTACTTTTCCCTTGCTGCTTTTTATACTGTCTTTATTTTTTGCCATTTTAATCACAAAGTGTCTTGCTGTGGTCCTCTTTGGATTGATCCTGTTTGAGACTCTCTGTGCTTCCTTTATCTGAATGCTTGTTTTCTTTCTCAGGTTAGGGAAGCTTTTCAGTTATTATGTCTTCAAACATGTTCTCTGCCTCTCTCTCTTCTCCTTCTGGGATCTCTATAATGTTAGTGGGCCTGATGTTGTCTCTGAGGTCTTTTAAACCATCCTCATTTCTTTTTATTCTTTTTTCTGTTAAGCATCAGTAATTTCTACTCCTGTCTTCCAGCTCACTGATTCATTCATCTTATCATTTAATCTACTTTTGATCCCTTCTGGTGTAGTAGAAAGAATCTACCATCCTGCTATTCTTTATTTCAGTTACTGCATTCTTTATCTCTGCTTGGTTCTTTTTTAAATTTTCTGATCCTTTGTTAAAAACATCTAACTTCTTACCCTGTATAACCTATCTTCTCCCAAGTTTTCTGATCATCTTCACAATCACTACCTTGACTATTTCTCAAGTAGACTGCCTATCTCCACTTCACATAGCTCTTCTGGAGTTTTATTCTCGCTTGTTCTTTTGGAACATGCTCTTTTGGCACCTTGCTTTGTCTAATTTGCTGTTTCCTTTTCTACATATCTGGTAGGTTGGTTACACCCTGACTTGGAGGAGTGGCCTTTTGTAGGAGACGTCCTATATGTGCTGACAGTGCACTCCTGTCTGGCCACCAGAGCTATACACCCTAGGGGTGCCCCCATGTGAGCTGCATGGGTCCTTCTGTGTGGCAGGCTGACCACTGCAGGAAGTCTGGTAGGTGTGGCTGCCTGGTCCAGCCGGTTGCCAGGCCCTGCATTGTGAAGAAGCTGCTGGCGTTGGTTGGTGGGACCATGTCACAAGCTGAGGAGCCAGTGCTGGCTCTCTCATGGGCAAAGATGAGTTATGGGAAAGGGGTGGTTGCAGGACTAGGGTTCCTGATTTAGTTTTGGACTGCTGGTGGAGGGGCTGCTTCCTGACATGGCTGGTTGTAGGTTCTGGGGTATCCAAAGCTGGTGCTGTTCCACTGCCTGGATTCTGGGGCAACTGGCTAAGCAGTCCAAGAGCTGGTGTTGGCCTGCTGATGGGCGGAGCTGGGACCCAGGGTTTCCCAGGGCTGGTGTCAGCTCATCGGCAGACAAAGCTAGGCACCGCCTCCTCCCCCCACCAGGTTTTTCAGCTGCAGTACCCTGGGAGTTCCAAATCTGGTGTCAACCCACTGGTGGATGGTGCTGGATTCTGGATGCTAAGGGTGTCCAGATTCTGGATCCTGGATGCTAAGGGTGTCCAGATTCTGGCACAAGGTGTCCAGAACTGATACTAGCCTGGTGGTATGCAGAGCCAGGGCATGAGGGGTCCTGGGGCTGATATCATCCTGCTGTGTGTTGGTTAAATTCTGACAGGGCAGGCTGCAGAGATGTGGTGGCCCTGAGGCTGATGTAGGCCTGCCTGCTGGTGGGCAGGATTGGATCCAGAGACTCCCAGGACTGGTGCTGGCCCACCAGTAGGTAAAGCTGGGTTCTGGGGTTTGTGCTGACCAACTGGTAGACAGAGTTGTTTCCCGGGGTCTCTGGCTACAGGGCCCGAGTGGTCCCAGAGCTAGTGATGGCTCACTGGTGGATGAAGTCATGTCCCAGGATCTTCAATTGAAGGGCCCTGAGTATCCTTGAGCTGGTTTTAGTCCCTCAGTGTGTGGGGCTGTTTCCCAATACAATTGGCTCTGGAGTCCTAGGTGTCCTATAGCTTGTGTTGACTTCCTGGTAGATGGGGATAGATTCTGGGGAACCTGGTTGAGGGGTCCAAGATGTCTCAGAGCTGATGCTGGACTGCTGGTGATGGGCGAGGTCCTGCCATGGCAGGCTATGGGGCTGTGGTGGGCTTGGGAATGGTGTCTGCCCACTGGTGAGTAAGGCTGGTTGAGAGGCTATAGCCAGCCCACCGGTGGGCTGGGCTAGAGCTCAAGGGGGTCCTGCCCACTGGTGGCTGGCTGCAGGGACCCAGGGGTCCCAGGGCTAGTGGTATGTAGAACTGGGTCCTGGCTGCTCTGGTGGACAGGGCCTGGTGTGACCCCTGTGGGCTCAAGAGGTCTTAAGGCAACCTGCCTATTGATTATGGGGGCTGTGTTCCTACCCTGTTAGTTGCTTGGCTTGATGCATCCCAGCAGTGGTCCAGAAAGGTTGGTGGGCAGGGCCAGGTCAGACTAATAACCTAGATGGAGGATCCTAAAGTGGTTCTTGACAGCACCATTGTCCATGTGGTAGAATGAGCTCCCTAAAGCTGCATTAATTTATGTGACTAAAATTTAGAATACTTATATTAACTTCAGAAAATAAATTATGTAATGTGTATATGATTTAATGTTTAAGAAATTCAGAGATTAGTTTAAGAATAAAAAGACACTTAGCTTTTTTGCGGTATAATGACAACATGCAGAATTAAAATAAAATCAGATGCTTAGAACAGAAATCTTACCTGTTCGCTTATTTCTGTCCACATAACAGTATTTTAATTCATAGTCTTGTAATAAGTCATGAACTTCCTGAAAGAGACAAAACATGAACTCAATGAACACATAAGTGCAGTTGGTAGATAATCCATCTGTATTAGCCTACCACCACTACCATCACCATTCCCCATGTAAAAGAGTCTTCTGTGGTTCTCTGTCACACATTTAAATTAAAGGCAGTCAAGGCCCACCAAATCTGTCACCAACTTAGCTCTTCAAATATATCTCCCAACATACTCCTACATATGCCCACATTCCTGCTCCGATGAACACATCCTCTCTCAAGAGGATACCATGTACAATCTTCATTCTGAATTTATGCTGACACTTGGAACTTCCATGGGGCTAACAACTACTACAGATCCCAAATTCACCTGGAATCACATGCATCCTTTGAAATCCCAGCTCAAATATTCTTCTATGAAGATTTTTTTCCTAATTCTTTCCCACAGTACATCACCTCTATGCTAACACTGGTCATACTTTATGCCTCTCTTACAGAAATGTTACACATTTCTACTTGGGTATTACAAACTGAGTTTTTAACAAGTATTACACTTGTAGAGGGCTTCCCTGGTAGCTCAGGAATCTGCCTGCAATGCAGGAGACCCTGGTTCAAATCCTGAGTCAGGAAGGGCCCCTGGAGAAGGGATAGGCTACACACTCCAGTATTCTTAGGCTTCCCGAGCGGCTCAGACGGTAAAGTATCCACCTGCAATGTGGGAGACCTGGGTTTGATCACTGGGTTGGGAAGATCCCCTGGAGGAGGGCATGACAAACCACTTCAGTATTCTTGCCTGGAGAATCCCCCTAGTGGGCTACAGTCCATGGGGTCACAAAGAGACACGACTGAGCGATTACGCACACATACATCTGTAGATGGTAATACCAATATGAAGAAGAAATAAATATAAATTAAAACCTAACCTAGAGATCCCTGGGTATGAAGCAATAATCCTCAAATTACAGTATGCAGCCCAATTTCTTTCCCCTCAGTTCCCCAAGATGTTTAAACTTGGTTTTCTGGTTTATTCAGCTTGTATTACTAGTCTATTCTAAATTCTTAAATTCTGATATCATAACTTCCATCCACCTGGGAAAATACATTATATTTTGTCTCTATTTCTCTAATCCCTTCTATTAAATTAATACTAGAGTACAAGAACTATATTTTGTCTGTATATTACCCATATTGCTTTGAATATACTAGGCACTCACAAAAACATTAAAGTGAATATAATTTGTCATTCATTTGATCTTAGGCCTTGAAAATTTTACTCATAATATACAACAGATATCATTATTATTTTTTAAAGGAATTGAACTATAACATTACTGGACATTTAGACCCAGATAGAGAATGGTACAGCCAACCTGTTCTGTATTACAAACAAATACACTAAACAGACATAAGTGCTAGGATGTTAAAACAGACATAAGTGCTAGGATGTTAAGTCTGCAACCTATCAATAATTAATTCAAGAATAATAATTCTTATTACTGCTATTTTTACAGTTAACATTCACTCAGTTTTTACTAGGTACCAGAGCATTGAAGTCACCCTTTTATTAAAAACACAGGAAACCAGAGAGTAGAGAAAATTCAAGCAACTTGCCAAGGTCTTACACTTAGTTATTTTCTGAGTGTAGATTCACCAACTAGTTAGGTTCCAGGGAACTACACTCTTAACCTCTATGCTGTACTGATTTATTCCTTCTAGGATTAACTAAAAATAGTACACTGCCACAGACAGTTAAAAGACCAATACTTCTAGTGCCTTAATAAGGGATCATATGGAAATGAAAAATAAGTAAGAGGATAGTTTCAAACTGAGAAACACTTTCTCTTTCAACCCAATGCAAGGGGGTGGGGAAACTGACATAACAGGCAAAGTATAAAACAAGCTGGGTGAAAAAAAAACAATCATCTTTTATATAAGAAAGATAAGAAAGGTAAAGCTGATAATTTAGTATTCTTTATTAGTCAATATTTTAAAATATATATACTTACCAGTTGTGTAAAACACTGTTTGATGAATTATATAGTAATACAATCAGTATATATTTTTATATAGCTATGATAATTTTTTATCTTGTAAATATCAACATCTTATTGGACTTAGAAAACAGCATAAGAAACTCACTAAGAAAAAGTAACTCTCTCAAAAGCATACCCTACACATCTTGCCAATAGGCTAATTGAATACTTTATATAGAAGGTGACACAGTTTTGTTTGAAGACATCAAGTGTATGCTTTCAGTTGCACAAACTCTAATCTCTCATTTCACTAGTTAACAGCTGTCAAATGCCAGACAAAGAAAACATGATACTGCTCTTCACTTTATCAAGTATCCATAAACAATGACATGTTATATTACTCATTTAGCTAACCACCTGAGAGAGATCTTATGTTTTCAAGGATGCATTTTTGCAAGTTGGAAATTTTATTTTTAAAATAACCATATTTCTAAGCACAGCTTTCCCACGTATCAGATGTGGAATACAGACTTTGCCAACTGAGAAAGTTTACAAAACTTCCTGCAAAGGAAAAAAGAATTATTTTCCCCAGGCCCTGGTTGCTCTGACCCAGGAAAAAGTAGGTCACTCCTCAATTTGAGCCTTGGCAAGCTGGCCAAATTAAAAAATTAAAACCTGAAAGAGAGTCCTGACAACCACTTGCCAAAATCCAACTATGATACCCATCACACAAAACTGAAAGTACTAAGATCATGTCTCCCTCTTCTAACCTAGCTTTATGACACTTCTATGAATTTACAAACTAACTTTAATGAATGAAGTCACACCTTTGATGAAGACTCTTTGTCCTCTGACTAGCAATATCAGCTATACATTTCTTACAGTAAGATGAGCTCATCAAAATTGCTAACTGTTAGATAGCTTTAGTAACCTATTTCCAGACCAGATTCACCATCACTCCCTGGAACTGAAAAGTTTTCCACATATGAAATGTTTTCTGGGAAGAGGTTCAATAACTTTCAGCTCAAAGCAGTCAACAATAAACTCCCAAAAGTTAAACAACCATTGTTTCAGCTCATCTGGACCTCTTCCTGATTGAAAGCCAGCCTTGGTATTAAATCTGAATCATATTGTCTTCTAAGCCCTTCATAGACTTTAAATCAGCTATATATATATATATAGATAGATAGATAGATTATAAAAATAACTTTCATAGATTAAAACACTCTTCTTTAAAATTTAACTTTTTTTGGAATGAAAAAACATTGGGTTGGCCAAAAAGTTCATCTGTGTTTTTCCATAAGATGGGACCCAAATGAACTTTTTGGTCAACCCAATAGTTTTATTTATGTTCTTATAAAATGTAAAGTGATTTGATAATACAAAAGGATTATCTGTAACATATAATATGAGGCATTATAATGAAATAAGCACGCAGGAGTTCAACACCAAACTTAAAAGAGTAGAACACTGGTAACACTGTTCTAACCCACTTTGCCTTCCTTCACTGGCCCATCCCCCATAGCTAGGGTCCTCACATAGGTTTGCATTCCCTAACAATATATTCTGTTGGTTTGTTTCTGAGCTTTAATAAAAATGGTATTATGCTATTTTAATCTTCTGTGCCTTGCATTTTATACTCAATATTATATTTTCAAAATTCACTCATGATCCACATGGCTACTGTGTATTTATTCACTACTGATTAATATTCCATTCTGTGATTTCAGAATGATTTACTGATCTACTTTTTTATCAATGAATACTTGTTTCCAGACTGTTGTTGTTTTGCTACTTTTATATATATATATATATATATTTAAAACTACTATCACCTTCTTGTAAATTTTACATATCTCCTGGTGTTCATGGGCAAAAATTTCTGAAGGCGTGAACATCCTAGGCTACGAACATCTTTATAAGACAGTGCCAACTTCTTTATCAGAATGACTATTACAGTTTACATTCCCATCAATATATGAGAGTCCTTACAATGCTTGGTCTTACCAGATACTTAAATTTTGTCAGTTTAGTGAATATAAAGTCATACTTCCTTGTGCTCTTGATTTGCATTCCCTTGATTAATAAGGCAGGGCACTGTGATGGACAGTTTTTTTTTTTTTTTTTTTAATTTTTATTAGTTGGAGGCTAATTACTTTACATCATTACAGTAGTTTTTGTTATACATTGATATGAATTAGCCATGGATTTACATGTATTCCCCATCCCAGTCCCCCCTCCCACCTCCCTCTCCACCCGATCCCTCTGGGTCTTCCCAGTGCACCAGGCCCGAGCACTTGTCTCATGTACCCAACCTGGGCTGGTTATCTGTTTCACCCTAGATAATATACATGTTTCAATGCTGTTCTCTTGAAACATCCCACCCTCGCCTTCTCCCAGAGTCCACAAGTCTGTTCTATACATCTGAGTCTCTTTTTCTGTTTTGCATATAGGGTTATCGTTACCATCTTTCTAAAGTCCATATATATGTGTTAGTATACTGTAATGGTCTTTATCTTTCTGGCTTACTTCGCTCTGTATAATGGGCTCCAGTTTCATCCATCTCATTAGAACTGATTCAAATGAATTCTTTTTAATGGCTGAGTAATATTCCATGGTGTATATGTACCACAGCTTCCTCATCCATTCGTCTGCTGATGGGCATCTGGGTTGCTTCCATGTCCTGGCTATTATAAACAGTGCTGCGATGAACATTGGGGTGCACGTGTCTCTTTCAGATCTGGTTTCCTTGGTGTGTATGCCCAGAAGTGGGATTGCTGGGTCATATGGCAGTTCTATTTCCAGCTTTTTAAGAAATCTCCACACTGTTTTCCATAGTGGCTGTACTAATTTGCATTCCCACCAACAGTGTAAGAGGGTTCCCTTTTCTCCACACCCTCTCCAGCATTTATTGCTTGTAGACTTTTGGATAGCAGCCATCCTGACTGGCGTATAATGGTACCTCATTGTGGTTTTGATTTGCATTTCTCTGATAATGAGTGATGTTGAGCATCTTTTCATGTGTTTGTTAGCCATCTGTATGTCTTCCTTGGAGA